TACATTTTTTATCTCTATTTCTTTACTACAGATTTTCCACAAATAGAGTAAAACAGATCATAATTGTTTACATAACATCAACATGTCAGGACATGATTATTAATGGAACAATATTCTAATATATTTGGAAAGAGAAAACATCAATTGTTATCAATGAATCACCAATGCTTTGTGATATTAGTTATGTCAGATAATGTAACACTAGATATCTTAAATTACTGAATATACTAATTCTTAATTCTATGGATATTTAATGTGTTATGCTACAAATATATTCTAGCTTATTGATAAAAGAACTTATTTGAAGCATTAACATTAAATTATTATCTAAAAAAAAAAGTGAACGAAAGATATATTATCGGTAATAAGTAAACCACTATCAATTATAGAAAGACGAGAGAAAATCGTTGTGTTGATACATATTTCTTTTTATTCCGAGTACTTTCGACATAGTACAATGTCATCATCAGAGTGTTGTTTATGACAAGATAAATACTGTAGTGTTCATTATTTTCGAATACAAAATTGTTGTGTACATTTGGAAGTTAAATTTCTTACTTGTGTAGTGAAGAACGTTGAGTTAGTGCATGATCGCCTACACCGTCAAAGGGAAGTAACTAAGTATTGTTGTGGAGAGGTTTTTGGAAATAAGTAGTAAAAAAGTATGAGTGCAAACCTTAACATTTCGAACTATCTATTGTACACATTTCGAAACATTTATAGAGTATTAATTATTTAAGGTTTGATTTAAATTTTTTTAATATGGATAGCTTCGAGAATTTTTAGTTTATTTTTATTCTTTTTAATGAAAAAGTATAGAAGTATTTTCAACAAGAATTTTTCTGAATTGTGAATGTGAACAGGTATGTTTCAAATGTTTAGAAATGTTACACCTAATAGATTGTCCATGAATATGAAAGGATTCAATTGAAAATAAATAGCCAAAACTTGTCTAAATTATTCAATGAAACATGTCACCAGAACATACACTATATATATATATATATATATATATACTTACTTTATACCAGTTTTCTATCATACAGTGAGTGTTTTCTTTTTTGGATTACATTTTACCAGTGGTTCCAAATGATTAATATGAATACACTCAGGTACATCAGAATGGTTCCCCAAAACCCTCTCGTGCAACATCAGCACATCTTATAACTCAGAAGCTTTCAACCAGTCAGGAATCCCACCCCACAAGCCTAAGTTTCATGGAGGATTTGGAGCCACAAATTGGTAATCTCAAAATGTTAACTTCAGAACTCCCCAAGACATATCCCACAATGTGCCTCAATTCACACAACTGAAATGTCATGGTAGGTTTCCTATCTGCTAGCTCTTTTGTTTTTTTGCCACTACAAAAATAATACATGCATAAATAATAATACACTACAAAAATAATACATACTAAAAGGGAAAAGAATGGAGATTTTCAATAATATATACATATTATCCGGAATGTATAAAGTCAGACAATCTTGGAAAGTAGGGTAATTACATCCTGACTTAAGGTGAACAGTGTCCATCAGCCAAAATAGTTTGACAATCACTGCTATAACTTAAAATATTTTTGAATATACTTACTTCATAGACATATTTATACACATAAAATCTAATAATGCCATTTTTTTTTTCTGAGTTTAAAACATGTCCTAGTTTTATAAATATCTTTTTTAAATAGTCACTTTGCTATCTTGTAATAGATGGGCTACCATTAAATTAAGTGAATTGGATTCTTTCTCTAAAGTAAGATTACTGATCTCTGAAAATTAGCTCCCTGTATATCTGTACATAGTGTTACAGGTAACCAATTTATCATCTTGTGAAAAAAAAAAGAAACCCCACTAAATCAAATTTATCATCTGAAAAAAACGAAAAATGAAAGCTCTCCAAAAAACAATGTCACAGTATTTTTTTTATAATTAGGGACAAATTATTAAAATTATTATATTTGGATCAATGAAAAGGAATAATTTTTGCATATAGACAGTTTGGGGATGCAGACTTTATCCTGACTCTATCTCAGAGTTGTCAATCGTGATTTCTTTCGTTTAAAATTTCCTCATCATCAACGTTATTTTGTCTTTTTTTCTAATTCTTTTTAGATCATCATTATCATTATTACATGATAATGTTGATGTTAAAAAAAATGTATCTCCTCCCCACCACACACAAGCTAAAAAAAAAAATTATTTTAATCAATTTTAAGATTTTCTGCCTACTATAAGCATAAAATTAAAGATGGGGATCTTTTCAATCTCACTAAATATAAAAAAAAAAAAACAAATTTGTACATTAATTCTTCCCTGTTTTAAATTTGTATCTTTCTTTCTTTCTCTATTTTTAATATTTTTTCACAGTTCTCTTTTTTTATCTTTCTCTCCCCTCTTTCTTTTTCTCTCTATTTCTTTGCAATCTTTATGACAGTTTTTCTTTATCTCTCTCTCTTTTCAATTTATTCTACAATTCTCTTTCTTTATCTCTCTCTCTCTCTTTTCAATTTATTCCACAATTCTCTTTATCTCTCTCTCTCTCTTTTCAATTTATTCCACAATTCTCTTTCTTTATCTCTCTCTCTCTTTAAAATTTATTCCACAATTCTCTTTCTTTATCTCTCTCTCTCTCTTTTCAATTTATTCCACAATTCTCTTTCTTTATCTCTCTCTCTCTCTTTTCAATTTATTCCACAATTCTCTTTCTTTATCTCTCTCTCTCTTTTCAATTTATTCCACAATTCTCTTTCTTTATCTCTCTCTCTCTCTTTTCAATTTGGTCCATAATTTCTCTTTCTTTATCTCTCTCTCTCTCTCTTTTCAATTTATTCCACAATTCTCTCTTTATCTCTCTCTCTCTCTTTTCAATTTATTCCACAATTCTCTTTCTTTATCTCTCTCTCTCTTTTCAATTTATTTCTCAATTCTCTTTCTTTATCTCTCTCTCTTTCAATTTATTCCACTATTCTTTTCTTTATTCTCTCTCTCTTTTTCAATTTATTTCACAATTCTCTTTTATCTTTATCTCTCTCTCTCTCTTTTCAATTTATTCCACAATTCTCTTTCTTTATCTCTCTCTCTCTTTTCAATTTATTCCACAATTCTCTTTCTTTTTCTCTCTCTTCTTTTCAATTTATTCCATCTCTCTTTCTTTCATCTCTCTCTCTCTCTTTTCAATTTATTTCACAATTCTCTTTCTTTATCTCTCTCTCTCTCTTTTCAATTTATTTCACAATTCTCTTTCTTTATCTCTCTCTCTCTCTTTTCAATTTATTTCACAATTCTCTTTCTTTATCTCTCTCTCTCTCTTTTCAATTTATTCCATTCTCTTTCTTTTTTCTCTCTCTTTTTCAATTTATTCCACAATTCTCTTTCTTTATCTCTCTCTTTCAATTTATTCCAAATTCTCTTTCTTTATCTCTCTCTCTCTCTTTTCAATTTATTCCACAATTCTCTTTCTTTATCTCTCTCTCTCTCTTTCAATTTATTTCTTAAATTCTCTTTCTTTATCTCTCTCTCTCTTTTCAATTTATTTCACAATTCTCTTTCTTTATCTCTCTCTCTCTTTTCAATTTATTCCACAATTCTCTTTCTTTATCTCTCTCTCTCTCTTATCAATTTATTTCACAATTCTCTTTTCTTTATCTCTCTCTCTTTTTAAAATTTATTTCTCTCTCTCTCTCTTTCTTTATTCTCTCTCTCTCTTTTCAATTTATTCCACAATTCTCTTTCTTTATCTCTCTCTCTCTCTTTTCAATTTATTCCACAATTCTCTTTCTTTATCTCTCTCTCTCTTTTCAATTTATTTCACAATTCTCTTTCTTTATCTCTCTCTCTCTCTTTTCAATTTATTTCACAATTCTCTTTCTTTATCTCTCTCTCTCTCTTTTCAATTTATTCCACAATTCTTTCTTTCTTTCTCTCTCTCTCTTCTTTTCAATTTATTCCATTCTCTTTCTTTATCTCTCTCTCTCTTTTCAATTTCTTTTTCATCATCTCTTTTCTTTATCTCTCTCTTTTTTTCAATTTATTTCACAATTCTCTTTCTTTATCTCTCTCTCTTTTCAATTTATTCCACAATTCTCTTTCTTTATCTCTCTCTCTCTTTTCAATTTATTCCACAATTCTCTTTCTTTTATCTCTCTCTCTTTTTCAATTTTATTCCACAATTCTCTTTCTTTATCTCTCTCTCTTTTTCATTTTATTCCATTTTTTTCTTTCTTTATCTCTCTCTTATTTTTCTTTCCAATTTATTTCCAATTCTCTTTCTTTTTCTCTCTCTCTCTTTTTTCAATTTATTTCTTTTCTTTTCTTTCATTCTCTCTCTTTTTTTTCAATTTATTCCACAATTCTCTTTCTTTATCTCTCTCTCTTTTTCAATTTATTTCACAATTTTCTTTCTTTATCTCTCTCTCTCTCTCTTTTCAATTTATTCCACAATTCTCTTTCTTCATCTCTCTCTTTTTCTTTTCAATCTGTTTCAGTTCTCTTTCTTTCTCTTTTGTCAGTCTTTTTCGTGTTTCTATTTTATTATTCCTCTTGCTCAATTTTCAGTCTTTATCACAATTCCCTTTCTTTATCTCTCTCTATCTCTCTCTCTCTTCAATCTTTTTCACAGTTCTCCTTTGTTATCTCTCTCTCTCTCTCTTTTCAATCTTTTTCACAGTTCTCCTTTGTTATCTCTCTCTCTCTTTTCAATCTTTTTTAATTAGTTCTCCTTTTATTCTCTCTCTTTCTCTCTCTTTCAATCTTTTTTCACAGTTCTCCTTTGTTATGAAAAATCTATCTCTTTTTTTCTTTTCACAGTTCTCCTTTGTTATCTCTCTCTCTCTTCAATCTTTTTCACAGTTCTCCTTTGTTATCTCTCTCTCTCTCAACCCATTTTCATTCTGTCTCATTGTCTTTTATGTGTTTGTTATTCCCATTTGTTCTTTATCATTCACTCCCTATGTCTATATTTTAACTTAATTTCCACATTTTCTTCTTTTTCTCTTTCTCAGCATGTTTTCCTTCTTTCAAATGTTTCTTTACTTTCTCTCTTTTTTCTTTCATTTTTTTATCCTTTTTATCATTATATTTTTCTATATCTATATTTTCTTAGCTATGTAAGGTACAAGGCTAAATAATTTTTTTGTGAAATAATAATTTCATTTTTTTAGAATGCAAAATTAAAAGACTGTCAGTTTTCATAATCGACATTTGAAATCCTGAATTTTATCTGGAATTGAACACTGGGAAATATTTAATATTTATGCATGTGGTCTGAAGATTACTTGAGGTGTGAAATTGACAGTCACCATATAGTGTTGATTTGTACATCCACACTCTCTATATCTATCTATATGATGGACTCTCCCATCTTCTTTAATGTACGAGGGTCCAACAATTCAGCTCTTAGTAGTGAACAGTCAGACTACTATACACATATGATGGAAAAATAGATTCATAACTCCTACATAATAAGACATTAGTGGAAATGGTATCTTCATTTTTTTTTGTTTCTCAACTATTATTTTTACAAAATTTCATTTCATTTGGTATATGTTAAAAAGGTATATTTGCCATATAAAAAAACTCTCTCTATATCTATATATATATATATATATATGATATATATATATTTATATATAAAAAAAATTCATTTTCCTGCATTCATTAATTCAATGAACTTCTATTAAAAAATAATGAAAAAGAGTTTAATTCAATTTATTTGTTTAAAAATGTTGCCCACAACATGAAACTTCTAAAATCATATATAAATATAGTGGCACTATGACTTTCTGGAACCTTCTGGTAGTTGTTTTTGTTTATTTGTAAGTTTGTATGTTAGGCTATAGCTATAAAGTGTTAAATGCATTAAAAAATATGCAAGTACAATCCAATTACATAATTTTTAAATGAAAAAATGAACCTTGAAATAATTTGATTTTTTATCAAATTTTGGGCATATATGGTAAAATCAAATTTGGGTGTATTTTTTAACAGGTTTCAAGAACTAAAACAAATTAATGCCTTTTTCATTACTTTTTTAACAAATACATTTTTGTCGATTTATGACACAAAAAAAAATTATCCTATATATATATATATATATATATATATATATATATATATATATATATATATGGTGTCATAGCAAAAATTGTCCAAATCATGAAACATCATGGGATAATTGTCCATCCTACAAAATTTTTTATATAAAAAAGAACACTAAACTAATTTTACCAAGTTTTTCAGATAAGATGTTAAGCCATCTTGACACCATTTTTCATAAGAATCACTGAAAAACCCTTTGAGCTATTCAGCTAAAAAGAGAGCAGGTTAAAATTGTTTTATATCAGACCCACTGTCTTCCCAACTGAGCAATGGTGAGTGGAAAAAGATCGTTCAGGTCTTCAGTAATGGTACCAACATTCATACTTTGGCTTCCATCTTCAATGTCCATTCAAGAAACATCAAGAGAACGGTGAATAAGTTTAAAAAAGAGGGAACAGTAGAGAGAGAAACTGGATCAAGAGGTCACAACAGGAAGAGCAATCATCATTTCAACTACAAAAGATCTAACTCCATTGATAATCAAAATTTTTCCATGTGAGAGAACAAAGCCAAAAGACAGAAAAGACTTTAAAAATGAAATCGTACATTAAAAATAAGACAATATTTGTTACTCCAGAAGGACAGAAAAAGAAGGTTAGAGACGGAGAAGATCATCTTGAATAAGTTGGAAAATGAACCTGGAATAATATATATATATATATATATTTGAGCTTTATTTCAATACTTCATGAGCTTCCGATCCTTAACTATGATTAATGATAAACATGTTATTTTCATTTATGATCGATTTCATTATGATACTTCTGTTAAGCTTAGAGAGTAATTATACATTTTTATTGCTTAAAGTGGAGTCCAATAGTGTTAAAAAACACCTTGAAGAATTCCAGTAAGATATCTGTAATCATTTCTAAGATACAATGGTTCAGAGATTAACAATTGGACAATTTTACTGTTACCCCTTGTGTGTGTGTGTGTGTGAGTATAATATATAAAATATATATTTATATTATACAATTCCAATATAACAAAAATACTAATGAAGGCTTCCTCAGAAGAAACTATGGTAGTAGAAAAGGTTAGTGTTTGTCATATTTTAGATTTTACTAGCTCTACACTTTTAGTTTTTTGAATTGTGTATTGAGAATTTTTTTAAATAAAACTGGACAGAGTAAATCTTATCTGTTATAATAATTTTATATATATATATATCTATCCTCTTCTGTGTTGAGGATCCAATAATTCAGCTGTTAGAACTGAACAGCCAGAACACCCTACACATATGATATTTGATTATAGTTGTGAAGCTTTGTACAGAACCATCCACCCTTCTTAGAAGAATTAAATGCAGAGAACTGATTCACATTTTGTATTCAGTTGACCTTCTCTTAAGCTGGTTGCCAGCCAAGGCTAAAAAGCCCAGCTTGTCTATTTAACCCTTAGCTGAGGAAAGAGATGAATGCATAGCTTTCCAAAGTGATAGGCTAAGTTTAATATATATATATATTAAAACCAAAATGACATTAAAAAACAAAAGCCTTTGATAATGACTAATGATAGCTGAAAGAACTGAGATGAATATGTATTGGAAACCAGGTAAATGTTTGGAAATACAGAAAAAAATAAATGAACAATATTCCTAATAAAGAACATTCACTGATTTTTAGCCAAACTTGAATAAATGAAAAATTGCTGCCCAATTATACGTAGCATATAACTTTAAATTGGATAAGCATCTCAATTTACATGGGCTTCTTTTGGATAAGCAATATGGCTTTTGTTTTTTCCAGGTCTACTACCAATGTGTTAACAATTACTAAATTTGTCTATTAGACTTTAGTTAAGAATGGTGGGGCTTGATCAGTGGCTTTAGATATCTCAAAGGCATTCAACAGGATTTGATATGCTGGCCTTCTCCACAAGTTCAAGAGTTATGGTGTATCAGGACAAATATTTAAGTTTTTCTTAATAAGTCATGGAATGATGGTCGTGTTGAATAGACATGCTTCTAGATTATTTCACATTAATGTGCGAGTCCTTTGGAGCTCTCTCCTTGGATCTTCATTGTTTATCGGTAAACTTCCCAAGGTTATCAGTTCGCTACTAGGTATTTTTGCTGATGACACAACTATTTACTTCAGTCTTAGAAGCAATTCCAATATGTCCAACAAAGTAAAACTGGCAGCTGCTCTTGAAAATGACCTTCAGTCAGTGGTTAACTAGGCCAAGGAATGGCATGCTAATTTTAACACTTCCAAAATAAAACTGCTATCATTTAATCATTGTAGAGGAGCTATTCCGCCTTACATCAGTATTGGCTAATGCTAACCTCCAGGAGAGTAGATCTTTGTGCTTTCTTGGTCTCTTGTTTTCCATTGACATGAAGTGGAGATGTTATGTTGAATCAAAGATTTGGCCTTAAAAATGGGCACTAAAAATGTTGATTGCACTGTGTCATGCCAGACAATTTTTATCATCAGAATCCTTCTTGCACATTTAAAAATCTACCATTCATCTGTGCATTGATTATTGCTGCCATACTTGGTTTGTTGTTCCTGCTATATATCTCAAGATTGTTGACAAAATCCAAAGAAGGTTCTGTAATGTTATCAGCATCTTGACATCAGTCACTTTCTTTCTGCCATCTCTATCTATAAAAGGCAGGATGTGTGTGTGTAATGAATGCACGGCCGCAATTTTTGATGGATTTGCACCAAAATTTACATACACATGCTCCAAGTTAGCGGGAAGGCCAAAACCAACTTTGCATTTCCCAACTCCCATCAATAGTGGAAATAATCGATTTTTCCATGCTTCTATGGCAGTTTTCATGTAGTTTGCAGCCATTTTCTACTGGCCAGAGTGAGAGCCTATAGCTGGCTGCCACGAATAGGCAGGAAGATTCTATTGGCCAGCATGAGAGCCAACAGCTGACTGACACGAATGTTAACTAGCATGCAAAAAAAATCGATAGCTGCATTTGTCACAAGTGGGAAAAATTTAAATCTGCATGGCACTTTACTCCAATTGGCTCATTCGCTTGCTTAAACTCAACATTGATTCTGATTCCGCAGAACTGGGTTGGGTGTGAAAAAGTATTTGTTGTTAACATTCTTTTTTCATTCGGTTTTTCCAGTTACGAGTCCTTTTTTAAAGCTGATCGTTTTGTGTTCATTTTGTTCTTTTTTCGTAACAGATTTAATGTTTAGTATAGAGCTTAGAAAAAATTCGTAGTGTGAGATAGGCAAGACGTAAGGCATGTAGCAACATCAGCACGGCAAAGCTTTAAAAGCAAGGAAGGGCAAAAATATTTTAAGTCAATTGATAGCGATTGCTGTATGAGTCGTACGATTTTTTGAATCAAGCACTGGGCAATGCCAGGCCATGCTGCTAGTCTTTTAATATTAAGTATTAAAATTTTCATGGCAATTGCTCAAAAAACTTTCCTTGTTTTTTTGCTGAACTAATGAATTTAAGCAATTCAAATTTAATGAATAAAAAGTCTTATTTTTTAATTTTAAAAATGTAGATGTAAAAAAAACTTCTATTCTAAAGTTTATTTTCTAAATGAAAAATTTTCTTCACAAAAGTTTCTCATTTTTTTTTTTACCAACAACAAGTAAAAATAGTGGTATTATTGTCTTGCTTTTCAGGAATAATTTTTTTATATATATATATATATATATATATATATATAAAATATATATATAAAACGTGTATTAATTTAACAAGTATTCCTAAAACAAAGATTTTTAAAAAACCAACAAATTGTTTGTCTGTTTAAATTTTTAGAATTTTTTCCATGTCATATATTAAGATCAAAATTGTGAACAGTTTATCCACCATTTTCATGACAATATCAAACATTATTAAATCTTACTTCAAAAATTTGAAAATGCAAGACATAAAAAAATTCTTTTTTTAATAATTGAATTTGTTTTGATATCATGTTAAATATGTGTCTGTCTATTTTCTCAATTATAACCAATGGAATATTAAATATGATTATTTTATATTCTTGCAAATTTCTGGACTTGAGCTCTATGTAGATTCTATCATTTTGGAAATATATAGTGACCACTAATATTATCTATATATATATATATATATTTTTAATATTTCTAAGGATTAATGGAAATACATTTAATCCAATTTTAAAAAACAATCTATTTTTTTTTTTTAAAATAAAATATTTGGATATCGGTCTGTGCATTGAAGAAAAATGAACTAAAATTCCATAGATCCTTAGTATTTTGAACATGAAGATTCCATTTTGTTTTAAAAATTTGTTTAAAATTTTCATGTTTTTTGTTTGGGCATGATGGACTTCATTAAACATTTCAAATAAGTATCCACATGTTTGAAATAATATATATATATATATATATATATATATATATAAATATATATATATTTTTTGTTCTTATTGTTTTTATACATTCTTTTTTTTATAATATAAATATTTATGATAAATTTTCTTTTATAATAAATAAAATGTAAAAAAAATGTATTTAAAAATTTACAAATAGATTTACTTTAAATATTTGTATCTATAAAAGAATGTATAAACATATTTTAAATATTTTAAATATAATTGTATCAACTTTTGTTCATTTATATTTATACATTTTTACATTTTCAAATAAAAAATTATCCACTACAAAGATGCATTCTTGTTTTGACATGCTTTATTGCATCTTAGAAATAAACCTTGGGAACCAAAATCTATTGTGATTTTTTTCAAGAATGAAAAACTTTTTTTTAAAGAAATGTTTTTTCAGCATGTAAAAATATATAATAAAAAATTATCCTATAACTCTTGGATTGGTTCTGAGAATTTTTGAATTAATGCTGTAAAACATTAAAATTTAACCCTGATGTAAATAATTTTTATTATTTAATCCATTAAAAGTTAAAAAAAAACTGAACAGCCAAGAAATATCTGCACATATGATTTGATTTTAATGTTGATGGCTATCGCAAATTGTTTTACACTTTTTTCCCAAAGAACTGAATACAAAAACGTTTAAAAATTAAAATTGTTTTTCCAAACTGTTTTTTTCAGAATGATAGGTTTCTCAAGAGAAACTAAAGTAAAATTTCTTTATAGTATTGACATGAGTTTACTTCCTAACCATTTGTTTGAGGTCATGTGAAAAGTCAACACCTTGATTATGCCATTATTTTCTCTTCTCATGACGTGCTATTCATTTTAGTTATTTTTGCCAATGGAAATCTATAATTAATGTGTTTTTTGTTATTTGCTAAAGTTTTTTTACTTGTGATTCTGTAGCAGCAGATTGGATAAAAGATTGTCTTCTTTAAGGCCAAGAGGATTCATCTGCTTAAAGCTATTTGTAATCATTGACCTAAGGAGGCATGGTGGAGTAATGGATAGCAGCTCAGATTAAGGAAGTGGAGAGCCAAGTTCAAATTCCACTTGGATCCATTACATTCACTTACATGCTAATATGCTTGGGAAAGGTATGAATCCTATTCTTATCCCCCTAGCTATGAGTATATAAGATTGGACAGACTGGGTTCTACACCTTGGATGGCAAAAGTCTGAAAAAAGAAATGGCAACCTAATCTGTGGAAAAATTGTACTTTGTCAATATATAATCAAAAGATACATGATTGCCTATGTTTGTATCATGCATGGCACATAACCAACTGAATTGTTGACCAAAAAAAACCCTTGTATCTCAATATTAGTTTAAACATTTCTGAATGAGTTGTATGCCGTGTATGACATCCATCCATTATATATATATATATATATATATATATATATTTAATATGAGTAAAAATTTGCCACTTAGTTGATTGATGTTGCCCCAGGATCCCGACTCCAGTGTTTTGAGGGCAGACCTGTCTCCATCCACTCCTCAGTAGGTATCCCCATTTTACTGCTTATATTTTTCATTTTTTTTTCCTTTTCCTTTTTGTACTCTTATTATTGGTGTAAACTTTCTGATTTTTGTGATCATGTGTGCATTTTCAGACATCCATAGCATGTCAAACTCATTTTGATGTGTATGCACCTGTCTGCACAAATATATATATATATATATATATATATATATATATATATATATTGTATATATATTATTTATATAATTTTTTTATTAATGCATGTTTCATTAAATAATATTGACAAGTTTTGTCTATTTATTTTAAGTTCCTTTCATATTGTCTGATAAGCTTAATAACATTATCATTGAAAGATGAAAGGAAATCACCATATTGATACATGTTTAAATCCAATCTAAGCTTTCAAACTTATATAAGCCATTATCAAAGATGACAATTACTTTTTAATATATCAAACAATACACAGATGAAACAATAATGATAGTCTGTTTTTTGTTGCATGAAAAATTTCAAAACAACGACTAAACTTTGTGTATACGAGACATCAAAGCGAAAATTGCATCACAGCTTGTGATGTCACAAATGACTACGAGAGTGAAAACGAAAAGTATTAAATATAAGAATATCAAAAAATAATACTAATGGCAATTGTTATCAATTATAGGCATTTATAAATATATATATATATATATATATATATATATATATATATATATATATATATAAAGAAATATAGTCTTAAGATGTGCTATATTTATGGGATAAAGTGCTCAATATCAGAGATAGAGCATGTGTAAATATAAAAGTGAACATAGAAGTCAAGACTTAGAAAAATGACAGTCTGTTTCATGCTAAATGCAATCGTTAGGCCATTTTGCTTTTTTTCTATATATATATATATATATATATATATATATATATATATATATATATATATATATATATATATATATATAATTTTACCAAAATTTGTGTATTTTTTTAGAGAAATTTAAAAAACTCAAAATTATGCCATTAAATATTTATTCAACTAAATATAAAACAATGATTGAAATTGCTAAAGACTTAAGTTGTTAAATCTGAAAGAAAAGAAAATATATAAATATTAAATTTAATTTTTAATTTAAAAATTCAATTCCATAATATTGGAACACCCTTTACTTATATGATGTTTATTAAGCTCATATAGAATAATGGATATTTTTAAAATTATTTTTAACATTTGATTAATAAATTAAAATATGAACTCTTAGATTTTAGTTATCTGCACAAATGAATTTTCTTAATGAGCTTAATTGAGATTATGTCATATAATATATTGTTTTGATTAACATATTATTGATTGTTTAATTTATTGATTAGGTAAATGAGTATTGTAAAAATCAAAAAAACTTTCATAATTTTTTGTATAAACAAAGAAATTTTATTGAAATGTTA